TGGGCAGTTCTGTACAACAGAAGATTTGCCTGTGTGTCTCTTTAGGTCAGCAGACAGTAGATCAAAATTAATTTTCTCTGCATATTCAATCATCTTCATCCTCCTTAGCAGGGATGACAGAAGGGGTCAGAAATCTATCAGACCAAGACTATAACCAACAGAAAGGATTATCAGAGTGCTGTGTGAGATAGGATGAACAACAGCAACTTGAAACAAAGAATTCAAAATTTCAATACAGATATTTAAAAGGGAAAAGAAAAAAGGTCTGGTAATGAAATCTAATAAGTCTGTGTAGGAAACTCCCAAGTGAAGCGTGTGAGCTTCACAGAATAAGACCACAGAAACTAAATGAGAATACAGGTGTTGGACAGGGGGATGAACAAACAATACCATTCCTTCTCTGAAATGAGTGATCAGATGTGTCAGTCAGCACTATTCTTGGTACATTGCTGAGAGCTCTGTCTCTTCTACTTGTCCAGTGCAAGCCATCAAGAACACCAAGCCAATTTCATAGAATTAACTGAGATGAGTTAATAGAATAAACATTCAATCATTACCAAAATAAGCAGGATTAAACTCCTGGGTTTTTAAAAAATTTGCTTTTATCTGGTAACACAATCAAAAGAAAGAAAAACATAGCACTACTTTAGTAACCCTCAGGGTTCCACACACTGGGAACCACTTCTCCAGAACACCTAATGGGAGTCTCCTGTCCATTTAGCAGTACAGGAGAGGCAAGGGATCACACCTGGTTACTTGGAATCTTATTTCTCTAATCACAAAGGCACATTTGTTTAACCAGTCTGCTGCCAGTGCCACAGAGCATGGTAAGAAGTGCCACACAGCAAGAAATCAGTACAGATTAAAACTCTCCCAAGTTTCCCACTGACTTGAGATTTGAATCTTGGCTCCCATGTGCATAAGCCACCTTTAAAAACATTCATTAAGTTCTAAGGAACTTAGCAAAAGTCACTTTAAATATCCTAAAAGGACATCAAACTTTTTCATTTTATTATTCTTATGTGATTAATTTGATACCTATGTAGGGCCATCTAGAAATCTGTTTGTCTTTGCTGAGGCACATCAAAAATGTAGCTTATCTCACCTCAAAATTTTAAGTGAAAAAATCTAGCTCAGCTCTCATATAAAATTAATACTAAATAATAATCTCTAAACAAATTTAGAGATATCTTTATGACATATTTTAATCCGGGGAATTGATTTTTAAAATAATGCAGTTACATTACCCAAATTATATCTCATGTAGGATTACCCTTAAAAAGGGTAAGAAATGGAAGAAATGTGGTTTTCTTTTTCATGTCATAAACCTCATTGCTGTTAATGATGAGGATAAGGTCTTTGAAATTCTGATATTTAGAGACTACCATAGCAACACTTACATCCATCAGGTCCCACTGCTGATGGCAGCTGCTGCAGAAGAAATTCGGCTACAGGCAATTAGAGAACGATTTTCCCCTGCAGAAAGTTTGCTTCCATCTTTATTAGTTAGGGGTGGTTTACATCTTGGATGATGATTTATGTGTATTACACCAACCTACCACCCACATTTTTTATAAATTTTAAGAATTATCACAACACACAGCTCTTTTTCTTGACAAATTTTTACACTTCAAAAAAAAAAAAAATGGTGCTGCAAGAGATTCAAATCTACAGCACCAGATCAAATCCTTCTAACATTCCCAGGGTATGTCTCCTGCTCTCACACCAAACTACCACAAGCAACAACTCCATGAGAAATTAATTGTGACGCTGTATGAAAAACAAAACTTAATCCCAGGAATACACACACACACACACACACTTACTTCTTAACTTTTTGCAATGGTTGTTGTGTCAAACAGGCATTCAGATATTCAAAGCCATCCTTTCTTCTTCTAAGTTTTTTTCTTGAAGTTTGTTTCAAGGAGGCCTCTCTGAGTAGCCTTCAGTGATGAGAGCACATGGTGGATGCCTAAAGTATAGAAATCATCAGAGAGCTGGCAGAGCACACTCTTACATGGGGCAACAAATCACCTGAGCAGGAGTCTAAGGAAGCATGATCACCAATTATCTCCCCTGAATATGAGGTGTGTCAGATGTAAGAGCAGAAATATTGCCTATTCAGATTTACAATCAAGGTTAGCTTTCCCAAAAATCTATGTCCTTGGTGTAACTTGAAAAAAAAAGATGTCAACACTTTATTCTCAGTAGGTAAAAAGCTATTTCCTCTTGAAAAAGAAGAATGACAAATACTAGCAAACTGTTTTGCGGTTTAAAAGCTCCTGTCTGTGCACATTACTCTTTCACAGAAAAAAATAATAATAAAATATATATATATAAAAAAAAAAATCTCTGTTTTGCTCTGTACACAAGGCTGCAACTAATTACAAGAAGAGACAGATGCTGAGTAGCCTTAAGGCTTTCCCTGCCACCACAGTGAGTCTGTGCACTAGTCAACAAGCAGGTAGTGAGTGAACTCAAATGTTATCTGACAAGGCAGCAGATCCCATCACCTAGGGTTAGAATACAGACAAGCAACTCCGTGTTCAAAAGTAAAGACAGAAAAATTTCAAGCAGATTGTTTCTGACAGAAATCATATCACAGCCGCGCTTCCTGACAAAGTCTACGCGACTGAAACTCTACACTTTCTGTTTTCCATCTTCCCCTTTAAGAAACAGCCAGGATTTCCAAGGTACATCGAAGGTGACAGCTCAATGCACAGTGGTTAGCAAGTGCTTCTGTGCTTGTTTTCTCTTTGGAAGTATTAGGAAGCGTATCTGTGGGGGGAGCACAAGAGTGTCCCACTTTTTCCCAACCCATTCTTGGTTTCCTGAACACTTCCAAGCTTGCTCACAGATGCCAAGTGCTAGTTTCACAATGTAAAACTGTGACACGAAAAAACTTCACGTGACTATCCGGAAGTTTTAAAGAAGCTGCACCACCCTAAAAAGGAAAGTCAGCAAAAAGATAAAACCTGTCTATTATTGACAATACTGTTTCCCCTGAAAGCACCAAATCCTAAGCAGAGAGTTGGTTCTTAGCCTTCAAACAGAATTTTTGCCCTCCCTCCACAATAAACACGATCGCCATACATTTTTGAGCGTTACAAATCTCTGCAAATTAACGGATTTTTAGCAGTTTTCCTGCTTTCCACCCAGGAAGGATTGAATTCATCTAGATTGATTTGGCTGTTTCGCTGTGAGTAATGTCAAAACGAGACAGGAGAAAATACAGTGTTCAATGGAGCACAACAGATTTTACGTACATAGGTTCTAGCAGTGCTGTGGATTTTGACCTGCAAGCTGGGCATTTGCTCCCAATGGCCCGTGAAAACCCCTAGGGAAGTTTTTAGGCTATACCAACTAACATTACAAATACTTCTTTTGCTGAAGAAGAGCATTTTCCAACCTTAAAAATTAAACAGAGAATGTGAAGTGCACTTGCTCACCCCTTGGTATCATTAAGACACAAAAGGTGAATGAGGCATTTATTTCAGCAGAATGGGATATGCACACTGCTAACTACCACAGGTGAAAGACAGAGGACTGTAAGCAGAAACAAGTAAAGAAGTACCAAACATTACAGACAGAGTATGGTCACCCCGTGTTAAAGTTATTTTTGGACTCCAGATTTCTTTTACATTTTCTTTCCTTCCTCTAAGATTTTTAGGAAAGACATTAAGGACTGTTTAATACTATGGAGTTGCAGCACCTTACCGTTTCTGAAAAGACTAGTGCAGCAAATTTCACTTGAGATTATACTACAAAACTAGAGGCATGGAATATAGAAAATATATTTGAGTGTCTTCTCATTTTATAACATTGCCTACTGTGCAGTACACTGATTTCTGTGTAACATATTGGCTTTAGTCATAATTAAATTTACATGGCTTGGGATGCAGCGCCTTCCAGAACGGGACAATGTATAACTTACATAATTTATTCTAAATTGCTTAAAATTAAGTAGTGTCCGACAGATATTTCTACGGATTAGAGTTAAGGGAACCATAGTACTGGCAGTAGTTCCCAATTACATAGCACTGCATTAAATTTGCTTTATTAAGTCTTCGTACCCCATCAGAGAATTTTCATTGTTGGAATGTCTTTCTGTCCTAAGAGAAAGTATTTTATAGAAAATCAAATTCTTTGTTAGCAGTAATAATCTGTCCTTAAAAGCCTAGTTAGCAAGGCTGTGCTTACTCTATGGAGGTTTGTCATACTGCAGCTGCTTTAGTCAGTTCCTTCGAAGCTAAAGTGTCTGCTCACTGGTACAGTAACAGTAGTGTCATACAGTTTATGAACAATTTAAAAGCAGTTAGACTTTGGGGCCAGTCATGCACATCATGTGTGGATTTGAGTGTCCTGCCTGAGGTTATGAAAGACCTACAGTCCACTTCTCTTTCTTTAAAAGAAGTCTGAAGCACCAAAAAAAGAGAAAAAGCATCATTTGCAACAGCAGCATGTTCTACCGAGTTATTTCCCCATTTCTTCTAACAAATTCTTTAGATCTCTGCTAGGGAAATCAAAAAGCAACCTGAAAGGCAGGGGGCTGGGCAGAATAAAAATTTCACAGCCTTTCTAATAGTAGAACATGACCAAGAAAAATCAGACCTAAAATAATTAACCAAAACCCTGACAACTCCAGAACTTTAGTACCTCAAACTTGATATACAGTTTAATTCATTCAGGCAGACCCTGAACTTGAAAACACTTAGGCTTTGGATCTTTCAGATTAAATGAATGGTTGGATGACTTAAACAACAACAATAATAATAATAAGCTCTTTTTATAATCAAATGAGCTGCCTGGTTTCTGTGAAACCATTATATCACGAGCATCTGAACATCATGAGTTCCTCTTGATTAATGTGACCAGCCAGGAAGGTGATGTTCACAGAAGGATAAAAATCACAAGAAGTGAAAATTACAAAAAGGTTACAAAAGAAAATGTTTAATATAAAACTCAGTGACTCAGTAGCTCAGAGGTTGCTCCAGACTTACAGTAGGATGGAAGAAATTTGCTTCAAACACCATCTCTTTTTCCACTTTTTCATCCTGCTCCTTCCTGTCGGTTCACACCTCCTCAGACACAGTTGTTTTGAGAAGGGTTGGGGAGCTGCATCCAGGCAAGTCCTGAGGTGTTTGAGAGAGTCTCTACAAGCCTGGGAACTGAGCAGAGATGATACATACTTGGGAAGAGAAGTAGGCATGTGTCCTTTCTCAAACATGGCAAAAGCTTAACTAGTTTATAACAATAGGGATGCTCTTGTGATAAAAACAGGAGGAAAAGTGTTTCCATCTGATGGTTTCTTTGCTTTGGTTGCAGAAAGAGAGATACAGGCCAGGGCTTACACTTCCCCAAGAAGAGCCCTCTCTGTTCTCATGTGCAACAGACAAAGGTTGTTAAGAAGCTTGAAAAGAATTTTCATATTAAAGTATATATTTCTAATTTTTTAAAAAAGTATGTTTACTTTCAACACACAAATATACTACAAAGGATAGATATACATTAATTCTATTGGGAATTTCAATAGAAACCACAAAGAGTGAGTTGTATACTTTAGTAAGCATCTAGGTGCTTTGTTGCAAAACAGAAAAGTTCAAAAAAAATAATGTAATGGCTGTATAAAATCCATTACTTATATCACTTTCTTATATTAAAGTAATATAACAAGTATGTTAGGCTTGGAAGAAATTTCCCATTTACACTATGAACATGCATGTAGTCCTGATGCTTAATTGTTTCTAAAATACTTCAGAAATTGTAGCCTCCTCACCACAGTTTCTGTTCTGCACCTCCATGAAATTCTAGCTACTTCAAGGATATTCTGTCAGTAATGTTCCTTCATGTTCTTGATTATTTTTTTTCTATTTTATTCACTCAAAAGGGCTATAAAGCCTAAGAGAAACTTTTTGGAATCTGTTCACACTAAATTATGTAGATTTTTCTAAAAGTAGCCAAATACATTCTTTTCTTAATTAAAATATCCAATGAAACAATTTGTGTTCATTGCAAAATCAATAAGAAAGCGTTGGACAGGACAGTAGATACCCTCTGTTAACAAATTATGACTACTTCATTAAAACCATAAAGGAAGTCATTTCAAAACCATTTGCAAGCATGCAGAAAAAGATATGGTATAGATTTTGGAGTATGAACTAAATGTTTCAGAAGGACTCCAAAACTGTCATTGCTGCACACCATCAGGCAGGAGTGCTTTGCTGGAGCTACCTCATCCCTCCTGATGAACAGGGCATTGCACATCCCTGGGTGTTTTACTCAGAAGTTAACGTGCCCCTGGTGCCTTGAAAAAAAAACCCACACTGTACTCTCGAAGTTAGAAATACTAAACTTAAGGATCTGAGTCCCTAAACAACTGATTGGGGAATTCTTAGGAAAAAGACCCTCTTGACAGTGAAGGAAGAATCAGCAGTTGCCTGAATTCTCTCTCTGCGTTGCCTAAGGAAGTCATGTTGTCACACAAGCTACAAAGCAACACAAGCAGCACAGGTACTCATGAGAGTCTAAAATAAAATTTAAAAGTGTGTACATGTACCCCAAGTGCATATCTGTGCATTGAGAACTTATTTAAGGATGGCATGTGCCCTCTCATAAATGATTCACTCAGGGTGTTGTCTCTGCAGATGAAAATGTACACGAGTTGTCTCTTAGTTGGGTGATAAAGCTTTGTTGCAAGGAATATAATGGTCAATTTAATGTGTAGCCTACATATGTAATTTTTAAAAATTAGAATAAATTGTGGAAAAAAACAACCAAACCACCACAATGACCAAGAGTGTCTTTTTGTCCTGCTACAAATAACTGGTATGATAAATACAACACAATGAAATTATGTGTTGTGTTAGTGTAGCTAATGAAAGAAAGTAAGGAGGGTGGTTTTTTTTGTCCCTCTCTGCTGTTATCAAGTAGCTGTTGCTAGATAGTCCATACAGTTAAAGGATTTTTTTGTGCATCAGGTGCTTACAAGGGCAGGAACTATGATTTGGTACACATTTGTAAAGAGCTATGTGTACTTCTGGACCTTAAAAAAAAAAATAAACAACACGAGTATGCTTCATTTAACATGTCTAAAAATATTTTTCCCTCAGGAACAGCAAGAAGGCAACTCTGCAACTGGCCACAAGGCCAATAAAGTGTAATGCACAGAGACATTGAGGGCTGTCTCCCTGTATCTCACTGTCCATCGCTGTGATCTCTGGCTCCTGTTTAAAGTTCTACCACATCAGGAACTGGTTATTCCAGTAATTAATAATCAGTGTTAGGTACTCTGACTATATACATCTTGACAAAGCAGTAATCATTTTGAAAGCAAATAGCTACTGGATTTGGCTTTTTTCCTAAATGAGGTCCTCTGCTAAAACAAAACAAACCAAAAATTAGTTTTTAGCCTTCGACCTAAAAAACCCACATATTTGTGTATAAAAGGTAAAAAAAAAATATATAGAAGTGTGTGTTGTGTATAGAGGTAAGTGCTTATATACTTTTCTGACACTGAACATGCTGAAAAAAAGCAGTATTTTTAAAACATACCTTCCACAGCTTCCTTACCACTGACATTATTTGCTGCTGCTTCCCGTGTTCTCCTCCGGGGCACCATCCATTGGCAGAAGGCGGCTGTTCCTTTTGTGAGCCCGAGATCTTCTGTGTGGCCTCTCCTGAAGAAAGTTTGATCATCATTGACAGTTGCTCTCAAAAATGCCAGGAGGAAGAGCTGAGGGGCAAAGCCATTTCCATAAGCGACGGACACAAATCCTGCCTTCTCCAGAAACACACGAGCAGCGCAACATTTACAGGACTAACACAGCTTTTGTGTGAGGAAGCCAAAATGTGCTTGTTTATCATCAGTTTTGCACATCAGTTGTTTGTGCTAGAAATTAGATTTATCTTGTGATTGGTTTTGGTTGGGCATTTTTGGTTTTGCTTGTTTGTATTGTAATTTTTTCTTCTTTTTTTTTTTTTTTTCCTTAACACGCATTTTGGAAGAGTTCTCCCTATTTAAACTAAATGTTTTCTAGGAGAAATTTTCCAGCTAATCAAACAGCACCTAGTCAAGTATTTGCAACGACCCAGTTCCCCCTGTTTCTTCAGGAAACCTTCTGAAAGTCAAATCCAACACAACTAAGCTAATGAATAGAACTGCATAAAGGTGTTTCAATTATACAAGACACATTCCACTCCCTCTAAGCCATACTTAGACCTCACAATTATTCATAAAGAAAGAAAAAGGACAGGAAAGTTTGGTTTAGTTTTGTTGTGGGTTTGTTTGGGGTTATTCAGATCAAATAAGAAGAATCACCAGGAGGCTTCCCTGAGAAGTCTTCTAAACTGGACATGGATTCTCCAGGAGGAGTCACTCAATAGCTGGAAATATCTGCTTCAGATCTCCTAGAATAGATCAGATGTGCTCCACCCTGTTGCTAAATTTGTTTCAACTGATTTCAAATGGAATGGCACTATTTTACAATATTGTCTTTAAAGAAGGCAAATCCATACCTATTCTCAGCCTCAGAACAACAGCAGGTGATGCAGAGAATAGAAGAGACAAGTGGAATATAAGAGTAATTTTACCAGGTTTTAGAAGTAGTCAAACTACTAGATATACACACTGGTATGAAGAAGACAGATAAACCTCAATCCTGTAGATTCAAACATGGATCCACCTTGACTTCTTCAGGATTCTTTGGGACAAATTAAAAGTCATTCATGGTATAGATCCTATGTACAATTTTTTTTAGATAATATTTCCCAAGATCAATTATTAATTCTTTAAAAAAACCCTAAACATATTAAAATACATGTTCACTGAATCACTATCCAGGAACATGCTGGTGACACTTTGTCCCCTGTACTAAGATTATTTGTTCCCTGTTGTTTATTTTCAATTGCTACCAATAATTTATCCACTAAACAACAGATAAATATAAGCATTTGTTTGAAATAAATACTATTTAAATTTTACACAGCTTAATAGGAAAAAACTACAGGATTAAAACTATTTTCACTAACCTCCAAGAAGAGAAGTTCATGGCTTTCGGGTGTTTAATGAATTAAGCCTTGGATGTGTTGTTAAACATGATTTTTAGCCACATTGAAAACTGTTTCTTGGTAATAACAGGTTTTGAACAAAATGTGGGGTTTTTTTTCCTTTTCTTTCTCTCATCAAGTGCTATTTTGTTTCTCTTTTTCTCTCCAGCTGCTCATGTTATTACTTGCTTAATTTTTCCTTTTTCTCTTTCGATCTTCCCTCCCTTCAGGTGTTTCAATGCTAGTTTTCAACTATTCTATTTCTGGTAGTTTTCTCTCACAGGGATTTGTTTCAATCGTGTCACTAGGTTTTGTGTATTTATTGTCGCTGTTTTAAACTAAAATAATCTCATCAAATCATTGTCATTCCTTAGAGTGATTTTTGGTTGGGTTTTTTTTGCATAAATATACATGAGATTAAAGCGGGGTTGAACACAGCTTCGTTTTACAGTATAATATCAGCTTTCTATTTATTGATTACCACCTCAAGAAAACATACTATCAGCTCATCAAAAAATCAATATATTGTTGGAATTTTTTTTCCCTCTCTGTACATGCAAGTTGCAGATGATCTGCAGGCTGGAAACCACACGCAAGTGAAGGAGCAGAATAAAAACTGCACACGGTACATGGCAAAGCTTCTGTGTATCAAACATATTTCATCCTGTAGCAGCAGGAAAATCCATTCAGCAACAAACTCTAGCAGTCCAGCAGAACTTGGACAGATCCACAACTGAAGTCAGACATGGGATAAAATGAAACAACCTGCCCACTAAAATGCAATTGCTCTTAGAATCATGGGAATAACTACCTCCCCTGCCAAATGAACTCTCTCAGATGTATCAATGACACACTGTTTATGTAGAAATAATCTCATTTTCTGTTATGCCTCCATTGTATTTTGCCACATTCTTGTGATGACACATTCACTACACAACCACTAGAATTTAACTTATTTCAGTGAATCAAACATCATCTTAGGGTATTTTGACATCAATGAGAACAACAGGCACAAACCTCTGAACCTAATTTGACTGTATAGATAGATTGGAGAGCTACACAAGGGTGGAGAAAGAAATCTGATCAAACAGAATCATTAAGTTTGCCTCCTTACACTGATTTTGTATTGCGGTAAATAAA